GGAAGGGGCCACGCACTTGGTGCCTACCGAGCAGCCTGCCCTTCCCGCGCAGTGTGCAGCCGTGTGCTGCCCTCCAGCCACTAGGGCTCGAGTCCCCGGGGGCTGAGGGTGGCCAGACCGAGAGAAGCGCTTTTTTTCTCAGTTGCAGATGGCTGGGTGAAGATGCACAGCTAATGAGGGTGTTGGAAGGGGATAGAGTGGGAATATACCCTGAGCAGAAGCAGCCAGCGTAAGGAGCACATGCTCGGTGCCTGTGTGTGTGGAGACCACAGCAACCCAGCTTCTGAGGCACAGGCAGTGCTGAGTGTTAATCCAGCCAGGCTACCTCCAGAAATGGTTGTGTGCTTAATAAGGCCTCTATTGTGGCATTTAATCAGGCTTAGCTGTGAGCTGAGCCCTCTTTGAGTGCTAGTTTGGGTTGGCTAATGAACTGTTTGACCTTAAATGGTTAGTGTGGTGCAGAGCTTCCCCAAAATTGCTCTGGCACTGGGCACAGTTGCATTTCTGCTTTTGGAAGGATTGCAGAACTGAGTGTGCTCATTTAAAGATGATGGAGGGGGTTCCAGTAATAAAAGAAGTACGTTTTCTTTGTTGCTCTCAAATTCAGAGGGCCCTGTGGTCCCACCAGTTACGTTGCCAGGGCCATATCTAGCCACCAGGCTGCTGGTGCCTGAACATCCCCCAAGTGCCCTTTTATGGGGGATTGTCGGCTGTGTGAGTTGGATTGGGTATCAGGGCGAGCAGATGCTGCCAGGGGTTGCTAAGCTATCTGGTTTTAGAGCAGTTGCATCACACTTTTCTTGCCTTAAGTGACTAAGATGTCCCTACTTGCTATTGTCTTCCTCCTGCAAGCAGATCAGAGTGCCTGGGCCGGGCCTCAGCTGGTGTAAATTGGTGCAATGCCACTACTGCATGTCTCATCCCAGGTGTCCCATTCAGACTGATGTGAAAGTATAAGTCAGCAAAACTCATCAGTGCTAATTAGTTCATGGTATGTTTTCTTTCTGGGTGATGAAGACAAATTGCCTTTTCTAAGACTGGATCCATGATAACAATTTTGAAAGCCATGTTTGAGGAAAGCTTCTCGGAAAAAACCTCAAAGAAAGCCCAGATAGTGGCTGTACCAACCCCAAATTCTTGTAGGTGCTGGCAAGCAACACTGCCGTAACTTCAGAATAAAGCAGAGTAAGCACCACGCTCTAGTTTGAGGAGTCAAAATCTAGAGGGAAAGGGGGAAATGAAGCTGTTGCTGAAGGAACTGCAATAATTGGGAGAGGCTGGACATACATAGGCAGTTTTCTCAAATAAATGGTCTCACCTCTGCAAAAACACTTTTTGTTTGGGTGCTTGCATTGCAGAAGCAGCGGAGTGGCTCATGGGAGCTGTTGCTCAGGCTTTGACCCTGAGGCTGCAAGTCTGGATGGTCCAGGGGAAGCTCACTTGAAGACGTCTATCTCCTGTGAGCTGCTTGTGAAAACAATGCCTGTTTCCCAGCCTTCACCTAGGGAGCCGTAGGTTGTCTCAAACAGGACCATCTCCGGCACCTTTAGCTTAGCAGAAAAGCTAGGTGTGAGGCCGGATGTGAATAATAAACTGTTCTTTCTCATTAATACACCCATAAATGTGCAAATGTATGTGTTGGTGGGAAGATGAGAGGGAAGGTTAGCGCAGCAAACACTGCTGGAGAGGTCCTACAAACCATCGTTACCAATTCCAAGCATGCCTCAATCTGGCAAAGCGACACCCTTCCTGGGCACCTTGGGAAGGGAAAACTTAAAGGCAGGCGAGGAGAGAACTGGACTAAGGTGGTCAGATCTGGAAAGAAGCAGCACTTGGGTATCATAACACAGCTCCTGTACTGAGAGGTTTTATGCAAGAAATACCCATTTCAGAAAACGCTTTCGATAAGCATTTATCCTTAAGAGCTTGTCAGAACAAGGCCATATGCATATGCAGAGGCTTTTTCTGACCTAGGCAAGGAAATAGAGGACAAAAGCAGCGAAGGTTTGTGGTACAAGCTACTTAAACATGCGGGTTTGTCTTCAAATTCTGTAATTCCTGTGGCTGAAAAATATTTTGATGCTATATTTCTGGCCTTGTTTAGCATAACTACCATTTTAATATGTGGAAAGTTTAGTGCTCTGATGTCCAAGCTCCCCTTTACCACTGGCGTGAGAGGAGACCTGGCCTGTGCAAGCTATGTGTTGCTCATGCTTTGGTTTATTGCAAAGCTCGGTGTATACAGGCAGCCCAGGAGTCCCCTCTGCCGTGATAGTCATCTCTGCTTGCTACTGAGTAGCTATCATTTGAATCAATTAAAATCTTTCTACTTGTCTATCTTGAACTTTCTGCTGAATGCATGTCCTTTAGGAACAGCCACTTTTCCACCCTCAGGGTGAAGGTTGTTCTCGGTTTTGGAGCTCAGCTGCTTTACACCTGCAAAGAGCCCAGCCTGTGCCCAGGTTGCACTGTAACTGATGGCCAGATCCGGTGAGCAGATGCTGGTCTGCTGCTCTGGCTGGCTTCAGGAGGAATTGTGTCTGAGGGCAGAATTTTGGCTGTAAGCCTTGAGGTGAAGAGCTGGGCTACAGATCTGGCTGCTTGCCTGGGTGGTTTCCAGGCAGACATTGCATTTTCATTTTGTCTTGGATATTCTGCTTTGGAGGTCAGTCGAGAAAGCAGAATGGGGTTGTCACTTGGCAGAAGTAGAAAAGTCAAGACAAAAAATGGATGTGGTAATACCCTGGGGATAATGCTGTCGGTCCAGCACCTGAGGTAGCATCTACCTGTGCTAACTCAGAGGTAATGGAAGGCAATTTCTACCCAGCTCTCTTTTGTTTCCCAGGCTGTACTGACCTTACTCTTGGCAGATAGCCACTTTCCCTGCTCCAGCCCAACCACACCACCCATCACAGAGAGCAACACAATCAGACGTGGAGGAGGAGCAATATCTCCCCACTGGTACACAGCTGGGCTCAAGGGCACAGAGGACTGCACCAAAATTCAGGCAAAGGGTGCAGGCTGGACCTGCAGGGAGTAAGGATGGGTGTTTCAGCCATAGCACAGATTTGTCCTGTAATGCGTAAAGAGAATAGCCTGGATGGGGAGAGGATTTTTTAGGCCAGCCCCAAACTTCATCATTCCTGTGACTTGCTGAAATGTCAGGAAGGTGCAGGGAGGTGTTATGGCTGGTTGTGCAATAGCACCGATGGGTCTTGGCACCTGGGAAAAGGGAAGGGGTTGTATTTTTGGCATCAAGGGGCAATGGGAGTTAGTCCTAGTGGAAGGAAAGAAATCATTTCCTTGTTCCTTCTGCTCTTCTAGAGAAAGAGGAAAGGTGACTTCATTGTTTTCTGTGAAGAGCTTGAATTTCTCATTGCCTACCACAGGACCTCTGGCAACAGCCTCTTCTACCCTCTCCAAGTTGGGAGCGCAGAATCACCCCCTACCCTTGGCTGGGTCCCTACAAGCCACTGGTGTGCACAGAATCACAATTTTGGTTGCTCTGGTTGCTTTCCCTTGTGATATTTCCAGCCCCGCTGCCACCAGAAGCAATGGCAAGGGGTGCATAATGGGGACCCGACAAGGAAGGCTGATTTGCATGGGACTTTGGGGTGTTGGGTTTGTGTTTCATTGCTCTGGTTTGGGCAGCGACAAAGTGCCATAAAGCCATTGGGTAGTGTATCAATTTGTAGTTTAAACGTTTCACTGGATACACTTCCTTTGGTACCAGTGAAACAGCTACAGTGAGATCCCCTGTACACAGCTCATGATGCAATTTTAAACTCCATGGTCTTCTCCGTAGTCAACAAAAGTGCTAAAGCACTTTCTCCTGCACAGGCAAGTTGGTCCAGGTGTCCGAGCTACCAGTTTCTTCTACCATCACATCTGCATGTTAGGCTGCCAGCTGCATCTCTTCCTCTCCCCCATCTCAGCTCAAGAGTTAGTACAGCTTTTCTGTGCTTACAACTTGTGACAGGCATGTTCAGAGGTGTTGGTTCTTCAGTCAGTGTCCCTCCTGAGAGAAAGGGGCTGTGTCTGCAGGTTGGTAGGGTTGAGGTTGCCACTGGTTGTAAAGCCTTGCAAAGAGCAAAGGGGAGGAAGAGCACTGAGAAGCTCGCTGGAGCATGCTGGGATTTGCAGCTGCACCCTCTCCA